AAATGACAGTAACGCTGTGTCTGTCACTTCGACAATTTCAAACTTATTTGAGGTTTGATTGGCATGACAAATTGACGTTTCCCGTCAGATCAATCCAAATCTATAGGGGGATTTTTATAATAATCCATTTTTATTTCTCAATATTTCTTAATTTTTACAATAAATAGTGCAATTTGATGGATGATTCTGAACATACATACTTAATACTGCAACAAACAATCTTAAACTTTTATATTCCATCACCAACCACTTATATTACTAGCGATTATATCATATCTTTGTTTTCCCGCACTAGTGCGGGAAAAAATTTCCCGCACTAGTGTGGGAAAATTTTCCCGTACTGTTGCGGGAAAATGACACTTTCCAAACTAAATTGCGTGCGGGTATAGGGTGAATCACGCACGCTTGTAGAAAAAAGAAATTTTACAATCAATATAAAGGAAGCAACGATGTAATTTTGAATTTCCTTGGAAAATGTAGATCCATGAGAGGTTTACTCGTTTTTTAATTTCGATTTCAAATGCTGCTGTTTTGGATGAATAATTTTCCTAGTATTTTTGTAGCTTCAATATTATTCACCAAAGTGCTTTATGTTCCTCTACCATAGAAATATCGTTCATTTTGTTGATTATAATTCTTCATCAATAGAATGTTATTTATGTTATACATTTCATTCTCTTCAGTATATTTGATGTTTTGATGTTTTGCGACAAATTTTTTTTCTCGAGTTTTATTATAATTTAAACTATTCGTTATATTTTTTTGCGTTTTTGACCATGTCACTAAAACAATAATTAATGAAAAGAATGTTATTTATGTTATTCATTTCAGTTTTCCCCAGTATATTTGATGTTTTATCGAAAATATTTCTTGACTTTTATTATAATCAAAAATATTTGTAATATTTTCTTGCATTCCGGTCTATGTCACTGAAATATGTAATGAAATTATACGAAATTTTTTCCGGAGATGGGCCGGTAGGGTTCAATTCGCCCGGGCCGATTCAAAGGTCCAGTCCGCCCCTGTACGTGGTGAAGAAGTATGAATTTCGTTTGACGAGCTATTATTGAAAATACTAAGATTGATAATTTTGGAATATAAAACTGATGAGGTACAAAAATTCAAGAGTGTAAATTATTTATATACTAAATAATCAAAATGGATAGATATAAAAATAAATTAAATGAAAGAACTCCGGTGTTAAACAATCACAAAAACTTCGGAGACGTATAATATATATGTATATAAAATTACTGACAATACTAGAATGAATAATTTCGGAATACATATGAATCTATTTACAAAAATTCAAGAGTGTAAAATACTTAATTAATTTGTGTATGTGGAAATGTGATGAGCACTCGAAAATATCTAAAATAATTGACAAATTGTTCTATAGAACGAAATCCATCGATAGTATACCTAACTATCGGCTCTGATTAAGTTGAAATTTGAGGACTGGTTATTTTTTTTCAATAAAATTGGATTTTTTGAATAACGAGTTCAATAAAAATACTATTTTTCAAATTGGATGCGCACTGTTAACAAAAAAAAAGTTTTTTGTTTTGCCTGAAGACGGATCTGTATTCTAAATTCGATTCATATTTAGTTTTGATGAGAAATATGAGTTCAATATACCTACCAAGTATGAATCGATTATACACAGTCAACAGTGGTTCAAAAGTTATGACCTGACCATAGATGAAGATTTTGCCAAAATAAAGATTCCGTTCTGTATCACAGTTATTGGTAAATTCTTAAAAGATACAGTTTCGAACAGGAAGCACGAAAATCAAAAGAAAGTATCCCTTGATCGGAGAATATACAACAAACGGTACGAAACATACAGGTTATATGTCACGACGAGCTTACACTATCTCAATATCGAGAATCAATCGGGAGAAATCTATGAAAATATGCATGTGATTAGAATTCTAAATCTTGAACCACCCTGTATCTGTTCCGATTAAATATCAGTAAATAGTGGAACAAAAGTTGAGATAGGGACATGTGAGCCGTTTTGACCGATAATGAATATTTTAAAAAAATCCTAAAATTGAAAAATATCGATTTTGAACACCCTATATCTCTGTAATCATCTTCGATAGACCCCAAGTATGATACATTGATGAAATCAGCTCTTCAGGAAGAATCTTGAAATGCGATAAAATACAGGGTGTTCCGTTCGAAATATCAATGTTGCTACTACTTTCTAGTAGAAGCGGCAGCACTGCATTGTCGAACATATCTTAAATGAAAAGAGCGTATACCGAAAAATAAGCATGCACATTTTCATGGATTTCTCCCGACTGATTCTCGATTTAAAGAAAGTGTAAGCTCGTCGTGACATACCCTGTATAGGGTAATATGAAGTTAAATGAATACAGAAATATGAGGAAAAATTCAGAGAATTTCTCTGCACTCACCAGCGTGAAAAAAGTGAGGTTTTGATGAAACAACACGAAACACTAGAACAACACACGATCCCGATATCATTATTATTGAATCGAATGAGGAATACAAAAACACTATATACGAATCAATACGATCACTCAGTTTTTAGGGAACACTCAGTTTGGAACGATACATAATTTCTTTCGCGTATTTTTCGATATCGATCACAAAATTCGACCGTACATGATGACATCTAATATAAGACTGTCTTGATTTACCACCTGGTCCCGAATGAATGACTAATAAGTTGAATCATGCCGCTATCCGAATAATTTCCGAACAAAAAATGATTTATCTATGACTAATGATGATAATAAAATTGAACGGTGGGGGGGAGGGAGATATGTTGTATACAGGTGCTATTTTTTTTCGAAAATCACTAACGATATGGAAGCATTTTACATAGGCTGAAAATATATCTTTTCCAAGAATCTCGTGATTATGGAAGAACTTAACATACAATATGTAGTGAAGAGATCGAACCCTTTTCATTACCAAGAAATAATTTACCATACCTAATTTAGCTCTGATTGAGTTGAAATTTGAGGACTGGTTAGTTTTTTTAATAAAATTGGATTTCGAATTACGCGAGTTCAATAAAAATTCTATTCTTCAAATTGGATGCGCACTGTTAAAAAGTAGACCAATCCATTGATTTTTCCTGCTCCTTGCAGATATCAGAACATATCTACAAAATTCTAATATAGAGAGTGTTGTTATTGAGGAAGAAGAAGTTTTCTGTATTGCCTGAAGATGGATCTGGATTCTAAATTCGATTCCTATTTAGTTTTGATGAGTGATATGAGTTGAACCCAGACAGCACTGGATATCCTAGAATATTCTCTAAATATGCTAAAAGGGAAGAATATATCCGAATATCCATCGAATATTCTTAGAATATATACGTGCCTCTGGAACATTAAAGGAATATTCAAATGTGAATATTCTAGTAATATTCCAAAATGAATATACAGGGAATATTCCAGAAGGAATATTCTGTAGTGAATATTCCTAGAATATTCCAGTTGGATAGTGCAGGGAATATTCAGGTATGAATATTCCAGGAATATTCCCAATTAAATATTCTGTTCCTGTATATTCATGGAATATTTCAATAATATTCCCATGTGTTTCAATGAAATTGTAAAGTATGAAAATTAACAATTTTATAGATGTGAGTATTAAACATTGATTTTGAAATCTGTGGTAGAAGCCCATCGTATTTCAAAGTGAAGTGGTTATGTTACCAGGGATCAAAAACAAAAAGTCGTCTCCACAATTTTGATAGTGATCAAAGTACTCAATCAGATCATCGTACATGTTAAGAGCCCATATGGAACTGGAAGTGTTTATGGTTCCCTTCTGAACAACGCAATTCAATAAATTGTTATGTACATTATTATTCAACTCGATTACCGGCCAAGTGATTATGGCGTTGATCTGACAGTCTGAAAGTCCCGAGTTCGAGCCCATCTTGGGTCAGCTTTTTTTAATTATGAATATGTATTACGGAATATTCCCGGAATTATCATTTATTTATATTCCTGTATTATTCCAGGAATATTCCGAATATTATCTGAATATTCCTAGAATATTATAGGTACATTCTTAATATATAGGGAATATTCCTTGTGTAATATTCCGCGAATATACAAAATTTTCCCCACCAGCACATTCAGGGAATATTCCATAGTTGATATGTATATCCCTGGCATGTTCATGAATATTCGCAATATCCAAAAAAAATATTCCATGAATATTCATGGAATATCTGGTGCTGTCTGGGAATATACCTACCAAGTAGGTATGAATCGATTATATTTTAGAATACGCGCTCTCTTCATTCAAAATAATTTCAGCAATGCAGTGTTGCCCTGTATTTCATTGCATTTTCAGATTCTCCCTGGAGAGCTAATTTCATCAATACATCAAACTTTCGGGAATGATTACAGAGATATAAAGTGTTCAAAATCGAGATTTTTCAACTTCAGGATTTGTTTGTGCCGAAACTATTCATTATCGGCCAAAACGGCTCACATATGTTCCTATCTCAACTTTTCATTTACTATTTACTGATATTCAATCGGAACAGATACAGGGTGATCAGAATTCTGAATCTTGAACTAGCCAAAACACCCAACCCCTTTGCCTCTAGGACAGAACAAAATTCTTACAGTCGACTCCACCAAAGCTATACTTTATTGTAAGCAATCTTACAGGGACATGTTTCGAAGCTTTAAAGCTTCATCATCAGCATTATTGTTACATAGGAGTACTGTTCTGGAGGAAAAAAGTTATATGTTTACATATTATTCATATTATTGAAAATGTTTCAAAAAAATTATGAAAAAGTTAAATGCTGATCGACCGCAATTATTGCGGAGCCCCTTTGTTAGGGAACTTTAAATAACATGTTAATTAGTATTTAGAGAAAATCGACAAAATTATTATCTGTTCATGACAGAAATCCAATCAACTTAAAACGAAGAAGAAGAATAATTGAGGTTATAAATGTCATCTCTGTCATAATAATAACAACGGAAACTTAAAAAAAAAAGGAAAAATTTGGTAAAATTTATAAAAAGAAATGAGTAAAAGGAAAGCGCCTTCCAGTGCAGATAACCCAAATCATGATCTATGTGAATTATTCAATGGTAGGTATGATGTAGGCACAGCTTACATGTCTGTAGGTACCTATAAAAATATCTTGCTGTTTTAATATAATATGACCAAAGAATGTTAATGGTATATATGACATTCCTGGTTATATCTGGTGCTATATTAATATAAGAATGTAATAATTGTAGAATTGGCAGATTATGAAAAAAATGTTACAAGGGACATTTTCAAACATAATGCATATAGAAAAGCTGCAACAGTTCTAGCTCTGCACCCAACTGGGATAAAATCTGGAGATGAGGCAAAACAGTTAAAAGGAATTGGTGATAAGATATCCAAGAAGATTGATGAATTCTTAGCTACTGGAAAGCTGAAAAAATTAGAGAGTGTAGGTTTAAATGCAGAAACTATTGAGATTACAAAGTGAAATGAATATTTTTCATAGATCAACAGTGATTCAAAAAATACAGCAATCAATTTGTTGACTAGAGTATCTGGCATAGGACCTGCAAAAGCCTACACTTTGGTAAATGAGGGAATCACTACATTGGAAGACTTGAGGAAACATACTGATAAACTGACACATCATCAAAATATAGGATTGAAGTAAAAACATTTACATAATATCTCACATAATATTTATATACCCTTTAGCATGGGAAATTGTTTATTAGGCACCTGAAAAAACAATAATCATGTTTTTTTGGATGATTTTTAGGCTAGTTTAGGCTAGAGTCACTGGATGATATTATTAAGCTATGCTGTAAAAAAATCTGTAGGTTTGGTTTGACTAGCAAAACTGTTGTCATATGGAGGAACATTCATTTCCTAAATTTTTTGGGACTTCTTCCTTGTATCTATAAATGTCAATATCAGTATTATTTGGATATATGTGTAGGGGGTAATGGTCAGGGCGTTATTTCAGTGTATACCATGGGGGAGCAATAACAGTCTCAGTAAAAAAATGTATTCATAGCCAAAAATGCGCCGCAGGTAATTTTTTTGGAGTTCAAGTCAAATGCCTTCAGACTGAAAATTAGATTCTACTGGATTCTGGGAGAATAACATTAACTTCATCCCATAATTATTATTACAGTTTTTAGTTCCATGTTCTCATTTTGATATAAATTGATATAAAATGATCTGGAACTAAGAACAGTAAGTAAGAAAGTAAGCAATAGTTATTTGTTTTACTAGGCAGCAAAGTAGTAGATTGACTGCCGTGGCTGGTAGGAATTGAGCCAAGGCAGTCAATCTACATTTACTGCCTTGTGAAACATATAATTTTTTCTCCAAATGTTATGAAACCCATTTCATGCAGATTTTTTGTTGAAAACTCCATCATTTTTTGTTCACCCAATGTCAGTGTCAATTTTGATTACCAATTTTATTAGAATTTCTTGGAACGTTGCATAGCAACAAACTTTTGCTGCCTAGGCAGTAGAACTATACTTTTAATGCCTGTTAAGCGGCAGGAAAAAAACACTATCCTTGCCGCTTGGAGAAAAAAGTATTTTAAATACTTTGTGTCCTCCCCCTTAAATGACGCCCATGATATGTGTAGTAAGGACAAATCCTTGGACAAATCAGATGATTTATCTCAGATTTGTGTTGAAGTCAATTTGAAAAGAATAATATTTTTTTTTTAATTGGTACCAGGGTACCCTCTAGCTCTACTATGTATTATGAGATAGACAATGGTAAGGCGTAATATGACAAGTTATTATCACAAGGGAATTTTAAAAAACCGATACGGAGACGAAAACAAACTGAGTGAGAGTTCATAACATGTCCTTCTCTCTCCCGCAAGGAACCGAGGGGATGTTCAATAGTTCAATACTCGCGTATATACAGGGGTGTATACTGTAGTACTCATTACAGTGACTGCATTTAAGACCGCGCGCCAGCTGCGTTCCGAATTGATGCTAACCTCATAATGCAAAGTCAGTTGCAGCGCGGCCCGACATTCGTTTGATGATCTGTTCAACTGACTGCATAAACTTTACCTAGAGTTCCTCATTTTACGCTCTTCAGAGCAGTGGCGGATCCAGGCGAGGGAGTAAAAGGGGGTGAATACCCTAACAACACAGGGATGTCCTAGGTACGTCCCTTTTTTGTCCCGCGGTATAAGGACATGATTGGGGCATCCAGGGGATGTTCCGCAGTGGTTGTCCAGTGGACATCCCGCCCGGTACATCCCTAGGTTATCCTATTCGTGTCCCTGGAATATCTGATATCCATTCACATCAGAGTCATTGAATTTCATCAAAGTATTGAGTTGCATTTTTTTGAAAATGATTGTTTTTTTCCGGAAAATGATTGTAATGAAAATAAAGAATAAAGTTTCAGAACTTCTTAAGAAATGACCATTTTTCGCATACAGAAATCGTACATGCATAATGCCCCTCATTTTTAAACACCCAAGAATGATGATAATTATACCCAAATCCTAACAAAGTTGTATTTATTCAGGTTTCTTAACTCCTGTTCATAAATCTGTTTAGTACATAAATCTTCAGGAGGCTTAATAGCCAATGGAGTAAGGTGCGTGCTTGATAAGCTAAAGGTCCTGGGTTCAATCCTTCAATCCCTACTCGACCTACATTTTTTTTTCTTCTGCCGAAGAGATGTCCCTGGGATATCCTTGGGACGTCCTAGGGATATCCTTTCTTCGTACTTGGTACATCCCAGGGACGTACCAGAAGGACATCCCTTGGATGCCTTTGTTATTTTTTGACACAACAAGACCAATTATTATTCGAAGACAAAATTCCGTATACAAGGTGTTGAGAAATTCTACCGAAATTCTTCACAGGTGATAGCCCTCGTGATTTGATAAAAATTATGTAGGAGCCAAAGGACGCTGAGTGATTTGATTTAGAAAAAGTTTGGAGATACCAGGTATCTATTGAAGTTTTTAGGAATAATTCAAAAACGGCAAAGTTTTTCTTTCGATGTGGTAATGAGAAAGTGTCTTTTGTTTTCCTATATCTCTTCAAATAACGTCATAAAGAAATAAAAACGATCCCCATGATAGAAATCCTTATCTTGGAGAGAGTATATTTATATTTATCTTCGATCATTTCATACAAGGACACGCCACAGTGGATTTTGGTAATTTTCCTTCCTTATTTGTTATTCCACTGATGAAATTTCGATTATTTTGAATTTTTCGAATTCACTGTTCTAAAATTAAGTTTTCGAGATATTCTACCCAAGGTAAAAGCTTACATTGACATATCCCATCGATTTCAATAGTAGAAAAGGACAAACATGTATCCAAAAGTAATCCTAATTTAATCAGTGGCGGAGAAAATATGAGAGGAATATATAGGTACCTATCAAACCCTCTACAGCGGATAAAATTCCCAAAATAACTTTCTCGTTAACACTTTGAAGATACTATTAAGATATTTGAATGCTCAAAACAAGTTATAGATATATAATCATTATATAAGCCTATTACCTGGGAAGCATTGTCGATGGAATTTCGTAACTCCCTGTAAGATATGGTAAGAACATCGTGAACGGCACTGTATCATCAGTATATTATTATGAGTTTCATAGTTTTATCTATTCAAGGTATTTTGAAGATTTTGAGAAGAAAATTCCAAGAGAAGAAATAGAGCAGATTGAAAAGATCATTATAAAAGCAGTCAAAGAGCTTGATCCAAAGTTCGTTGTAACCATATGTGGAAGCTACCGGTAAGATTTGCCCTATCATGTTTCTTTCAACAGTTTCAACTACCATCGACCATTGTTGTGTAGGGATTTGAAGTATCTTGAAATCCCATTCCCTATAGACCCCAAGTGTGATATATATCGATGAAATCAGCTCTTTAGGGAGAATCTGGAAATGCGATAAAATACAGGGTATTAAATTTGAAATATCAATGTTGCTACTACTTTCTAGTAGAAGCGGTAACCCTGCATTGTCGAAAATATTTCGAATGAAGAGAGAGAATTCTAAAATATACGCATGAATATTTTCATGGATTTCTCCCGACTGATTCTCGATATAGAGATAGTGTAATCTCGTCGTGACATACCCTGTATTTGAGAATATTCCAATTCAAAACCGTAGTCTGTCGGCACTCAGGCCACCGGAAAATGGTCAGCTAATTGTCAAACTCAGTTTCGGACTTCACATACTATCTGTACACGAATTTCCATGATTGTACTAATGACCTTGATTACCTTCGAAACTTCGCAAATTTGCCGCTTGCCCTCATATACGTCCCCCAGACCGCACAGGCAGACTGATGGTGCTTTGGTGTTCTACAATGATGAATGGGACCATTCCAGAGGAAAATTGTACTGTACCGATTCACGTTGAAACTCATGTAGCCAGCTCTCAGACTAGTAAAAACTGTATTCGAATACTAGAAAGTATTTGTACACTGATTATTAACGCCCAGCTGACAGTTTGGGTTGTTGTTCATTGGGAAATTTGGTAAATAAAAGGGACAGTTTGTTGCCTGTGATGAATGATATTTGTCATTGAAAAATTCTATTCCACAAGGATATTTGTGAAGTACATTTGGCAACGTGCATTATATTTATATGTCTCGCTCTCATTGGTTTCCGGCAAGTTGCGTCATAACTAGCTTCTGTATAGTGAAGAAATTGTGCATCTGTGTTGAATTTCAAAATAATTGATGGAACAATCAACAAACAATTTGATTCATTCAACTTATTTGGGTTATATCATTGATCGATCACTGATTTGTTTTGTTTTCAGGAGAGGAAAACCAGAAAGTGGTGATATTGATACATTAATAACACTTCCTAGCTTTACAAGTGATAAAGTTGACAAAAAACAAAAAAATAAAATGTTGGGCAATATTGTGACAGCTTTAGAAAAATGTGGATTGATAACAGATACTCTTTCACTGGGAGAAACCAAATTCATGGTAAGAAAAGTGCTCAAAATACAAGGGGGCCACTAAAATTTTTCAAGATGCGATAATTTTTCCGGAAATTGACCGATTTTCAATCGGAATGCAGTATTCAAAAGATGCGTCCGTTCTGTTTGTGATTCATTCGTTCAAAACTCAAAGTTTTCAGCTTATGAACTTATGACATACCAAGTGTTACAGGATCGAATAAGTTTAGGAGTGTCCGTATTCCCCAGGAATTTGTTCATCCTTCGATACATAATTTTTAAGTCATTATCTCAAAAAACGTTTTGGAATTTCAGACCTTCCTTATATACAGGATGAAAATATCAATGTTTTTCAATTCCCTATTATTTTCAACATTTCTCACTGATTGTTATGAATAATGACAGTTATTGTCACGAGCTTGGCAGATTTTTCATAAGGGGATGTTATATCAAGTGTTGGACTGATTGAAATGTTATCACTTGCTTATACATATAATCATCTTTTACGGAAAATTTTCCCAAGTGATGTTCGCTATAGTGGTTTCTTAATTTCATACCAACTCAGGAATATCTGGAAATCACAATGCTTCAATAATCTCGGTATTGTACTGAATGATCCAAAAATGAACCCTTTGTGCTCCTGGAATTTGACATCTAGGAAATCACGAAATTTTGTCGAGATGATGACTGGGGCAGTCAATCCGAATGAAGGATTTGAAATTTCACTAGATCATGATTGAACCAGGATGAATGTGAACAGAGGGAATCACAAAGTCTCATACATTTTTTGAAAATCGCTTATTTTGTCAGTTGTACCAGAGATTATACACTCGTTGTAGGATGAATGAATCGTTTTTATCTGCGAGGATGTATGATAAAATTTCTTGTATTGGTTGATAAAGGATATTTTTCTAACAAGTATGTTTCACTGCTAGATCTCATAACTAAGAGATCTAGGATGAACAGAGTTGCCCCAATTGTCAGCAGGAGCGAGACAGTACTGTTTCGACCCACCAGGTCTCATCAGCCGCTCTCGGTCTGCTGACAACTGGGACAACTCTACGCTTCGGGTATATCACCCATTTCGAAGACGCAGGGTATAACATGAAGTTATAGTCATGTTGTAGCCATCTAGTGGCAATAAAGCTCTAAGGTAGGATACAGAAATCGCGACACACACTGTATGGCGCTGTCATCTAGTCACACGTACAGACCCCTACGTCTATACGTTACGGAGTGGTACTACAAGTAATCCACTCTGCTGACAGATGGCACTACCTGACATACTTGAGTGGAATTTTTCCACCACCTATTCAACTGCTAGATCTCATAACTAAGAGATCTAGGATGTTTCGTTGGATTTTGAGTAGTGTCTTGATATTTCAGTTTTCATTTCAATACTGAATATATTGGTAAGTTATATTTTTATATCATTTTACTGAAAGATAGTGTCAATTCTCAATTTCAGAAGATTTTTATTTACATATCCTCAACAGATGTAATTCAATGTTCGAGGAGGCAAATAGCCAGGAAAGTTGTTGTTTCCTGTTGAATATGAATTAGATATTGAAGTAAAGGTTGAAAAAATACCTACTGATGAAATAGAGGGCTTGTGTAGACCAATAACTGAACTAGGAAAATATTAATACCAATATATCTTGAAAAAGACTCCTCAGACATTATGCTCTGGCTTCTCTAAAGAATTAAAAAAGTATGGACCCATATAATATCAGTTCAAAATTACTCAAGAGCACGAGTGGCATTGTGAGCAAACCACTGGCACATATCTAGTAATTGTTTATTCTTTTGTTACTCCGATATTGAAACAAGATGATCAAAATAACTGTAACAACTACGGGTTCATAACAATTATTCCAATTATATCAAAAGTATTAGAAGTATAGTAATGAGGCCAGGTAGCCGTGCGGACAGAGTGTCCATATTCTAATCCGCATTCGCTTGCCGGTCGTGGGTTCGAGTCCCGTCGACTGCAGAAATTTTTCTGATGGCCCAAGAAAGTGTTTGGGATCACACGTTAAAAGGTAAGGCCCCCGTCATTCCTTGCTCGCACAAGACTCTCGAAGACTTCTGAGGGTTGCTCGTAAGGGGGCAACCGAATGACGGATAGAACAATTTTAGAAATATAGACTTCTCAATTTCTTTGAGGGGGAGGACATCTGAATGGAAGACAATATGGTTTCCGATCATTACAATCCACAACAGAGGCGTTGACAGATATATCGTTCACACTGTCGTAGGAATATCAACGTGAGTTTATGCTGTGCGATTTGTCATATTTCACTTGAAAAATTAGAAAAATACGGAATTTGAGGATCAATGTTCAACCTGTTACAATACTTTCTTAAAAAGGCTGTATGACACTTGTTAAATTTGATGACAAATATGTTAACAAAAATTATGACAAAAATATTTTTTATGTGTCATACAGTAAAAAAGGTGTTGATTTTGCGCAGATTTACAAACATTCTTGTAAAAATATAGGACTGTTTCTAAATATTCTGATATTATAAATATTTATACTGTATGGCACATAGAAAATATTTTTGTTATTATTTTTGCTATCATATTTGTCATCATATTTAACAGGTGTCATACAGCCTAGAGATATGATGAGAATACATTATACAGGGTGGCCCATCGAAAACGTACCGCAAGGCATTACAGGCTGGGAAATGACGTTTCGATAAATTCCGAAAACAGGTCAAGTTTGTTTGTCAGGGGGACACATTTTGACGTGATAAGCATAGTAAAATCTTCAACCCCCTAAGTAGGGTGGTCACCCCAAGATTTTTTTCAAATGGGAAGGGGGGTCAAGCGATACCTCTTTAGAAGGGGCTTGTCATTCCCTATACAGTGCTGCTTAGATTTTTCAAATCGATCTACTCTTTCAGAAAATATGGAGCGTTGAAACTCAACTCAATTGTACTTTATTGCAATAAGTTCTTTCAAATGAATTCGCTGTTTTTGCCGATTCGCTGTTTTTGCCGATGCACAGATTTGTTTAGGCTCATTTTAGAGAGTAAAAAATGAATAGGATTCATTTCTTCACGTTTTTCTTAGGTCAAGTAGTTGCTAGATACCCGTCGTGGTTGAAGTGTTCACGAATTGTTGACTTTAAAATTTATTATTATGGTCTATTCAATTGCAGACAGAGTGGAAATCATTGAGCTTTTTTTCAAAAACGATGAATGTGGAAATCGGGTCGCGGAGTTGTTTAACCAACGGCATCCTGACAAACATGCCTCTGGAAAAATTGTTCGCGAATTGGTGAAAAAATTTCGCGAAACAGGTTCAGTTCATAACAAAAAAAGAGAGCTTGAAAATCCAGTACTAAATGAACCTACGGAGATAGCAGTATTGGGGCAAGTTGCAGTTGATAGTACGCTAAGTACAAGACAATTGGCCATTGCCACGGGGGTGTCTCGTACCAGTGTCCAACGGGTATTAAAAAAATACAAATTCTATCCTTACAAAATTCGCCTAGTGCACGAACTGAATGAAGATGACTTTGATCGTCGCTTGCAATTTTGCGAAATTATGAGTGAGCGAGCGTTACACAATGGTAATTTTCTATTCAATGTGTGTTTTTCGGACGAGTGTTCCTTCTTCCTCAATGGTTTAGTGAATCGCCACAATTGCAGATACTGGGCTGACACCAATCCAAGGATTTTCCACGAGACACACACGCAACACCCCCAGAAGTTGAATGTGTGGGCTGGTATTTTCGGAAATTCCATTGTAGGACCTTTTTTCCTTCCTGGAAATTTAAAAGGCGATATGTACTTGGATTTACTACAAAATGCCATCGACCCAGCTCTAACAAATATCATTGAGAACGATCCCGCCCAGACAGCACTGGATATTCATAGAATATTCTCTAAATATGCTAAAAAGGAGGAGTATATTCCGAATATTCATCGATTATTCCTAGAATATATACATGCCACTGGAACATCTAAAAGGAATATCCCAAAGTGAATAGTCGGACATGTTCAGGAAATATTCAGGTATGAATCTTCCAGGAATATTCCCAACTGAATATTCTCTGTTGTATATTCATGAAATATACCCAACTGAATATTCTGTGCGGTATATTCATGAAATATACCCAACTGAATATTCTGTGCGGTATATTCATGAAATATTCTCAACTGAATATTCGGTGGTGAATATTCATGAAATATTCCATGAATATTCCTTTGTTTCTCAACACATAAATACCATTTATTATTTCAGAGATATGAGTATCGAACATCAATTAGATGTAAGGGGATTTTGAAACAAAAAGTGTTTATGATCCGATTTCGAACAATGCTCTCACAAGAACTTGATATGTATAACATTATTCAATTCGATTACTGGCCTAGTGGTCAAGGAGTTGCTCTGATAGTCTTGAGGTCACGAGTTCGATCCCTACTTGGATCACTTTTTTTAATTTTAGAATATGTTTATTAGAATATTCCAGGAACATTCAACATAGAATATTCTTTTGGGTATATTCTATGATTATCTGAGGAATTCCCATTCGCATATTTAGAGAATATTCCACAGATATTCCGGAATATTCCAGATTATTTCTAGAATATTCCAATATTCCAAAAGGAATATGATAGGGAGATTCATGGAATATCTGGTGCTGTCTGGGCGCATACAATGAACAGGAACTGATTTTTCAACAAGACGGAGCTCCTCCTCATTATTCCCAAAATGTGCGCAATTATTTACATGACACATTTCCAGGACGATGGATAGGACGACGGGGCCCAATAGAATGGCCACCTCGGTCACCCGACTTAAGTCCTTTAGATTTTTTTTGTGGGGACACATCAAAAGCCTTATTTACAAAACACCACCAGACACATTAGAACAGTTGCGAAAAGAATCATTAACGTATGTCGCGAAGTGACACCCCAAATGCTCCAGAATGTACGACAACGGTTTGAAAATAACTTATACCACTGTATGCAGGTTGACGGACAGCAATTCGAACATTTACTTGACTAATAAATGAGTTGTGAAGTACATTTGAACCGATTTTTGTATTTTTCGTCCCACATGATGGTTGGAGTTTCAACGCTCCATATTTTCTGAAAGAGTAGATCGATTTGAAAAATCTAAGCAGCACTGTATAGGAAATGACAAGCCCCTTCTAAAGAGGTATCGCTTGACCACCCTTCCCATTTGAAAAAAATGTTGGGGTGACCCCACTACTCAGGGGGTTGAAGATTTTACTATTCTTGTTACGTCAAATTGTGTCCCCCTCGCAAACAAACTTGACCTGTTTTTGGATTTTATCGAAAAGTTGTTTCCCAGCCTGTAATGCCTTGCGGTACGTTTTCGATGGGCCACCCTGTATACAACGATGTGAAATCAGATATTAAAAAAAATAAGCATGGACCTCAAGGATTTATCTTGGGACCGTTGCTGTTTAATATACAGGGTGTTTAAAAAAACCTGACCGCCTTGCTAGGGTAGCTAGAACACTTCAAAATAAGTTGGGTTTTCTCAGTAAAAAAATGTCGTAACGGCATCCGTTTTTAAGATACAAGGTGTTGAAAAAAATTGTGATGAAATTTCGTATGGACGTTTTGTGCAAGCTGACACATCGCCTGAATTTGTTTTCATATCTGACTCTCATAGAGGGCGCTAGTTACACACGGTTCGTGCCGAGTAGTTTTGAACCTAACTTTTTTGAGGTTAGTTTTCTTGAGCACTGCATAAGCGACTGTAACGAATATACCTTATTATTATTCATTAATAAATAACAGATCATACATGTACTATGAACTCACATAGGACTTATCTTTATGGAGCACGAGATCATACTAGTTTTACATTTATTGAAATCTTTACAGTTCCTCAAATATTCTAGGGTGCTTGTAAAGTTGATTCTGACCACCCTACCCGAAGACTGGACATAAGATTTACACCCCATGACCAGTATTATTGTAGCATACTCTACTTCACAGGATCCGATATGTTCAATAAAGCTATGAGAGCACATGCTCTAGAAAATGGATTCACTCTGAATGAGTATACCCTTCGTCCAATAGGAAGTACAGGTGAGGTTTTTATATTTCTATTTTTTGATGCTTTATTAAATAAACGGAATTTCTGCTGTAGCTGATTATGGTTGTTCAGTTAATTATGATCCGTACGGAAAGTTTCTAGAAGATATGTCCTTTAATGTTTTATTCAGAGTAACGACAGACTTGCCATGTTTTATAACGACTGAGAATGAGATTTTCTATGGATTTTGTACCTTTTGTGATGACTTGACCAAGATTATTATAGATAGAAGTGAAGAATAAAATGGGAAGTGGAAGGTCATCGTTTTAAATTAATACAAGCACAAAATCAGATCAGATCTCAATATTTTGTGTAGTGTGGACGGGCTCAAAGTATGATGCGCTGTTGCAATATATCTGCTCCTTTCCTAGAAAACAGATCCGTTTCTTAAATAAACGAATTCATTTGCAAAAAAATTACTGACATAAGTTACATGATTATCATTTTGTAACATTAAGAGAGTATGAAGTTAAAGATACGCAAAATATCATAATTTATCTTCATTATCGAGTAATCCACTTCATACAGCAAATGACAGACAAAGTAGGATTAAAAAACTTACTATGTCCCATTCCTGTTATAATGTATATATTCAAAGAACAATTTCCGGAAATCTAGACATATTGATATGATACCTGCAACGTCGTACTGACACAGGGAATCCTATTCCAGCTCTGTGTAAATGTGGCTTTTCAGAAAGTACGCCATAGGAATGGTTAAGGAGCCAAGTTTCACTGTCATTCATTTTATTCTGAAGTGAAATTTTCATCTAACGTAAAAAAGAAAAAATACTTATGTATTGAATTTTTATAAACTTTATAGTAAAAACCTCAATATTGGAAACTTCCCCATTCTGAAAACAAAATCAATAAATTACCTAAAAGTAGTATGCATAAATTAAATTGCACCCGATTGTGAAGCTTTTAGCGATTTGCTCAGCATGCTCGGCATCAAGGGTTGGGATTGTTGTTATAATTGAAATATTTCTATTACAATCGCGTCTGTTATTACGCTATGACTACATTGACGGAAACAATTACCAATATCTCATCATTTTTTCAACCAAGTGAAATATATTCTGAAACTTATTCTGATTCTGGAGATCAAGATGATGTGAAAATTCATTTATTCATATTTTTTGCTCGGCTATTATCTAAATGTATCTATTTTTCCTCCATATATAGTGTAAAATCTTATAGTTCTACTTACTAAGTAGAAACACAATGTTTTTCGTTAAAAAACGAATATTTATCTTATCATATAGAAGCTAACAATTTTGTGAGACTGAGTTTATTTGTTTAGCTTTTTTAGTCACACTCGTGTTGTATTTCATTTTCTCTTCATTTTTCCTGGACAGTCCAAAATCCTAACAGGTACATTGTGACCAAAGAATAATCTCTTTATTGTAACATTATAATAAGTAAATTCAAATTTGCCGCGCATTGTTTCAAATCTATTACATTTTGCTACCAAGATTCAGTATACTGACACGAAATCCCAACCCTTTCGGCAGTGTCGGCATCACGTTCGAGTTATCCGAATCATTCGAATGATCCTGGTGGGAGTAGACATCTCGAGTGATATTAATAATCGAATGATTTATTCGAATTCGTCCATCACTAGCTCAGAGTTTTCATTCAAAGAGTCCTCGAGTCTAGTCTTTTAGTGTTTGCCCAAAAATAATTATATTAAAATTGTTTGTTAATGTATGTCTCTTCTCGCTACCGTTTGTTCTATAATGATGACGTCAATTAAATTTTGGACTTTTCCGAAATACTTTTGATGATTAAGTAATCTACAACTTTTTCAGTAACGGTTTATATAGAATATTACTTACTTGCAGGTGTAGCCCAGACAGCACCAGATATTCTATGAATATTCATAGAATATTCTTTTTGGATATTGCGAATATTCATGAACATGCCAGGGATATACATATCAACTATGGAATATTCTCTGAATGTGCTGGTGGGGAAAATTTTGTATATTCCCGGAATATTACACAAGGAATATTCCCTATATATTCAGAATGTACCTATAATATTCTAGGAATATTCAGATAATATTCGGAATATTCCTGGAATAATACAGGAATATAAATAAATGAATATTCCGAGAATATTCCGTAATATATATTCATAATTAAAAAAAGCTGACCCAAGATGGGCTCGAACTCGGGACTTTCAGACTGTCAGACCAACGCCTTAACCACTTGGCCAGTAATCGAGTTGAATAATAATATACATAACAATTTATTGAATTGCGTTGTTCAGAAGGGAACCATAAACACTTCCAGTTCCATATGGGCTCTCAATTGATTGAGTACTTTGATCACTATCAAAATTGTGGAGACGACTTTTTGTTTTTGATCCCTGGTAACATAATCACTTCACTTTGAAATACGATGGACTTCTACCACAGATTTCAAAATCAATGTTTAATACTCACATCTATAAAATTGTGATTGGTTAATTCTCATACTTTACAATTTCATTGAAACACATGGGAATATTATTGAAATATTCCATGAATATACAGGAACAGAATATTCAATTGGGAATATTCCTGGAATATTCATTCCTGAATATTCCCTGCACTATCCAACTGGAATATTCTAGGAATATTCACTTCAGAATATTCCTTCTGGAATATTCCCTGTATATTCATTTTGGAATATTACTAGAATATTCACATTTGAATATTCCTTGAATGTTCCAGAGGCACGTATATATTCTAAGAATATTCGAAGGATGTTCGGAATATATTCTTCCCTTTTAGCATATTTAGAGAATATTCTAGGAATATCCAGTGCTGTCTGGGAGCTTATTATTTGACAATAAATTTTTACATGAAATACAAAATTCCATCATTTGATTAATCCTAATATATTTCAGCGACGTTTTTAAGCAGGTTTTAATTTGAATTAATTTCATAAATTTACTAGGATTGCTTTGAAACTTTGATACCTACATTGTCGATAACTGATGAGAAAATCATGTTGACACTTACTCGATCTTTCTATTCTGCATTCTGTATTGCTACTTGTAATATCTTATACCACTTTTTTCACCTTCTGATTCGGAATTGAACTTCGTCATCAAACACTGCAATCTATTGTATTTCGGTGTGATTTTAGGTGTACCAGGTGAATCAGTTGATGTCAGCTCTGAGAAGGATATTTTTGATTTCATTGATTATCCATATAGAGAACCCAAAGATAGGAACAATTGATTACGTTGTGCAAAGAACATAATAATTTCATGTTATTTCCCTCCTTACATTATTATTCAGATTTACACTTGAATAAATTGTTTTATGTTACTGAATATCTTATTTTTCTTCCTTCTCCTCGGTGATAAAAAGTCCAAAGAATTTGATTTAGAAATATATAAGAGCAGCTTGCTGACGAACGAAAATTGACAAACATTTTTGAATTATATAGTTTCTTTATTTAAAAATATGTTTTTATTCGATTTGCGAACTACCATGAAAATACAACCAAAATATTTGCGTTATCGTGAAGCTTCCGGGTTTTCCAGCAGTGACGTCATATATCTTTATTATTTTTATAGGAGTTATTATAAAATACAGGGTTTCTATATTTTTGAATTCCTTTCATGGATCTGATCCGAATTGCTATATCATATCAAAACATTCAGAATCATGCTACTCTTAGTTCTGTATGTTTATGAAGATATACCCTGTATAATTTAAGTTATTTGGTTAGGTGATAGGTAGGTACTAATTATTGTTTGAATTTTTTATTTTCATATTTCTTCTGAATTACATTTTTGACATCCATAATAAAATTGAGCACATACAGCACAGCATAGAAACTCATAATACAATCAAATAATACAATATATAGGTTATCACACAATTCAAATGGAAAAATTGAAGCAATTACTATTTTGAATTGCATCAAAAACTCTTTTCTACAACCCTCAAAATATATCACCATCAACTTTTATTTTTTAAATTGCACCCTCCCACTCTCTGATATTTTTAATGAAAATTGAATCTCCACTTCATTTACAACACAATGGTATATCAATAAGTATTATTTCAATCACATTTTTCGACAAGAAACCATAACCTTACCAGCGTACATACCTTCGCGACTATTAACAGCACCCTTGTTGTTGTTGTTTTGTTGTTGTTGTGCAGGTAATATTTGTGAATGCATTTTCTACGCCATTGAAATGAATTATGTTTAAAATGAAGTGGACATTGAATTTTGATTAGCATAGCGAGTGAAATGAAAAATAAAGTTAAGGGTGATATCTTGAGAGTGGTCAAAAGGGCTTAAGTTTCAAAAGGAAATCTGGGACGAGCTGTAATGGATAGGTTTTCGAATTCCTGGTAAGGAGTCTGAAGTTGAAAAAGCTATGACTGACAGATATTGAAATTCAGATAAAACTAGTATCTTCACATATTGAAGAAGTCAAATTTTGAAATTATTTCATCATATACATATAGGGATTGTCGTCTCTATCACGAAATTTCGGTAATTGGGTCCGGTGGTCGAGAGCGCAAAGGCTCCTGTTTTTAAATGTATGCTGCCCTAACCCAGCACAAGTTTCGAAATGCAATGAAAAATTGAAATTAAAAAAAAAAAAAATTATGATTTCTTCAATCTTTGTGGATATATTAAGTGTAATTTTTTTTAGATCAAAGGAAGCTTAACAATATTTTCAATAACCGTTGAGAATCAACCATATGTTTTTGATGTTGGCAGCAACGCCACTTGGAACTATGCTAGAACAGTGACTAAATCTGCATGTCACGCGGAGTTGCCTCACCTGTATACGTTACCAGAGCGTGAGGTCTATGTCAAAGTCAAGTCATACAATTTTTCCGGATAGCCTAGAAGGAACAAATAGAAAAACTCAAGTTATGGTGAGACTTGAACAGACTTCCGTTTTTAAATCTCATTGCAGAACTTTACGCGCAATTCTTACATTAACAGAGAAGATATTGTAGGAAGAAGCCAAATGACACGAAAATAAAAAGAATACCTACCAGTTCTACCAAGTGTGGACAATGAAATAATATGTAAGCCCTCATTCAAGCAACTACGGGTTTCAACATAAAAAATATGACGTTTATCTGAAACAAGTATTAAAATGATTTCAGGAACTGATGGAACTCCAGATACGCCACATTATTTACAGAAGTGACTTTTGAGTTAACTACGTCATTTCGTGATGTGGACGACGGTAAGTGTAAGAAGCGTCTAAAGATAGTACCGCATCGTGCTATAGTCCCGCGTGAATTCCTTTGTAAATCAGTTCGCCCAAAATACAATGGTCTTTGGATTATTTATCTGAACAGGAATCTCATATCGTATTTTGCCTATGCCTTTCCGTGAGAAGACGAAATGGTGTCAACCAACACCTCAAATAAATACCTAGATGTAGTGTTGGACAAGCGTATGTGTTTCTAATCTCAAAAGGACAGTACAGGATATCCCTTTTCGTGGGAACCAAAACATAAAAAAGGCAATTGTAGGTATCCATTGTTGGTCCGGAATCCTGGGCTAACAATGGAATAAGCTCATATTATATAAAGAGATTATTATACCGATAACCACATACACGCTTGTCTCGTGTACTGTAGCGCCTCCGCTACAGGTGCTATAGAACAAAGAATCATTACCAACGGTAGTTGATACACTCGGGTGACTAATTACATGATTTGCCCCTGATTAGAAATTATATACTGAAACTATTGAACAAATTCTACAAATATCGTATAACAAACAGCGAATATACTCAAGGCATAGCGAGAATTAGGGCAGTTCATGGCATCCACGGAAAACATGGCCTAATATTTGAACATAACATTTCTATAAGACCATATTACTGAGATAATTATTGGGTAAAATATAAACAATCACTCTGTTCATATTTTCAATTGAATACATGAATTTTGAAAGGAAACTGATGCAACGTACGTCCCGGGTTCGAATCCTACTTCACCTTCTTTTTTTAAGTGATTGATTGAAAAAAAATACTGTGAAGGTATTTACTGCTAACGCCGATCGTAATTCGTTATTTCAATGAGGTGCGATTCACCCAGCGAGCCAGGCGGGATTATTAGCACGATCTGGTGCTATGTTTAGACGCTAGTATATGTGTACATGATCTCCTGGAACTTGTGATAAAATGAAAAAAGAATTATGCACAAAGACAGCTGAATACACGAATGATTCAATAACTTGAGAGGTCTCCATAATCCAATATACAAGGTGAAGGTGAATTGGCAAGTACTATGAATTGAAGAGTTCGTAGACGACAGAATGAATAATAATTCAATTTATTTTTGTATTTATTGTTTTCAAAATGACCACGCAACATACATTGGGAAAATTCCGAGTATAACGGATCACCCATCGGAGTAGATTCTAGAACACTCTTATCCAACGAAAAATTCTAAATACCGGTTTTTAATTTTCTGACTTTTTATGATTATCTGACCACATTGCTACAAGACGGTTCTTTTTTTGAACTACACTATTCTCGGCAAATAAAACTGTATCCCTCTTTTTTATCACTTGCGTCTAGGGAGTAGGCCTCACAAATTGAAATGTATATGGCGGTAAATTCGAATTTTTGTTAGTATACATTTTGCACATTTTGATTGGTCTAAATTTGTAACCATGTTACTTCCTTGACGTAAATGGTTTTTTTGGCAACTGTCCCTGAAGTACCCACTTCCCAGACGATTTATCATTGAGAAAGTAGCAATTTCCCGACTTAGTCCGGAAAGTACAAAAATATTTCGATCCCACGAAATGAAAAGCAGCAAATTCTGCGTTGAATGAATACCCAACACTCTGAATTCGGTTTGAACATATAGTTGAATTCACCAGTCAAAAATGGTGAACTTTCACCAACTTTGAGAGGATATCCATTGAGTATAATGTACTGACTTTGGAATGCCTGTAACATGGAATCAGCTATCTTAACTCTGAAGAAACTAATTCGCTTTCAGTTTTAGAGCATTAAATTATGTGTTCCGCGAGTAGCTAGTATTCCAGATTCAGTGTAATATACATAGGATATGGAAAAATTATTACATAGAACATTTTAAAATTTTCGATTTGTCTTCATATGGTCAGCATTCCGTGAAAAAGGCATCTGCAACTGTTTTTATTAACTCGATGATAACGACGGGCCGGGATCCAAACCAAATTCTCAATTACGATCATGATAACACGTTTGCCCCTACGGCATGAATCCTTCTGCTGAATATGTATAGCAAGATGTCAAGAGAATTAAAGTTTCACTAGGTCATTTCGTCAGGTCCTAAAGATCCTACTTATAAGATAGTAAGATATACGACCACTTCACCAAAGCATTGACCTTTCCCCAACTCAGGCTCGTCAACTTCAAGGATATGCCCACAAACCAAAAGATGTGGCGCGAACAAGACCTTATCAAGTGGTGCATGAAGTCATGACCTGCTACCAATAACAGCAAATAGCCAGCTCCACACAAGAACTTGAAAACGTGTCTTGCAAGTACGAAAAGGAATGCCCACCATTGTGTTAAGAAGGAATCACCTTTCAATCCAAAACATGATGAAGCTGAGTTCAATCAATCACTTTTGCCACAGGGCGTTAGGAAGTTGGGCGAGAAATAGTAACTTTTGTTTTTTCCTGTATAATGACCAAGTCATCAGCTTTTTATTGAAACTTACATCCAGGTTAAAATTTCGGAACATGAATCTACGACTTGGTCGGAATTTCACCAAAATCGGACAAGAAATGGAAAACTGACAGGGCGATCAATTTCGTCATTTTTTTGCCGGATAATGTAGCTTTGTCTACAAGCCCCGCAATTCATGGTACCTACTCACTTGCCAATGAATCACCTTGTAACATTTAGGACGCCAGATTATACATTAAGGTTCTAGACTTGTTAACGCCATATAGTGACCAAAGTTCCAGGTAGAATGTCAAACAACTCGAGCCATACAGTAGATAGCTGGCACGTTAGTGTGGTAGACAAAAAATAGGTGAGCTGTGCTGAAATGGGAACTTATTTTTGAAAACATCAATAGCGACATGTTGTCATGTGTATGACTAGAAAGCAGATTCTGATTTATGTAAAACATGAAAATCAAAGCGATAGCATAAAACACAAATATGTATGTAGCAGATAGGATAAATTAATTTCATTTTTTTTTTAATTAGGACATTAAATTAGTTCACTGCCTATTATGTCATTGTCCAATTATCTTCAGTTGAATTTCAAATTTCGAGAAAACATATGTAGTGAATGTCATGACTATTTTATTATTTCCTCTTGTCACAAACTGGCTGAAAGAGATAGAGCGGAATATTCAAGATTACTTAGCATAATGAAGGATTATAAATTTACATTTTTCAATATCAGTATAGTTTTCTAGTTAGTAATGCAGATAAACTGTATACTTTTTGTCCTATGTCATGGTGTGAGTCCTAGATGAATAATAAATGTAACTTGTTGATACTTTAGCAGCGTATGTTCTTTCTATAAGAATGAAAAAAAAAACACGTTTAACCCCTACGTCATACGCTACAGTGTAACTGTAGAAACACACTGTAGCAATCAAATAAGTGGCCTGACATATTTCCACGAACTCTGGCCAGTAGATGGAGTTAACATGATAAGAACATAATACAGTAGAATCATCTGGCGTCTTCACAATATGGGTGATACACCCGAAGCGTCGAGTCGTCCCAATTGTCAGTAGATCAAAAGCGAAAGCTGTCTCGCTCGTTTTGACAATTGGGGCAACTATTCAATTCATCCCAGATCTTAGGTAATTTTTATTATTTAGGAATACTCTTCATTAGGTAACTTCACATAATCATTTTCCTTTTGCTGTTTAGATTTTTTGAGGCTCAAAACCAATCCAAATGCTAACAAAATCATAGTAAATATGGAACAACCAATAATGATATTCCATTGAAAATCAATTGGCCATCCACTGGTCCATTTAGGTTGGCATTCTACCTCCCATTCTTTCAAATCAATTGTAATTGGTTTCAAAATCGAAATAAAATTGGCTAAATCACAATTAAAATCACAATTTTTCAGGTTAATTTCTTTAGGAGCACTACTATTTTTGTACAATAAATTCACATAGTTTCTTCCGTTATTCCGTTTTCTAAGCTCCATAAGTATACTGCTAGCATAGGGAGGGGCATGGTACTGGAAAGCTCCCATAGTATTAAGTACATTCGCAATAGTTGTGTCGTGAGCAGAAAATACTAAGAACTTTGGTGTATCGCTTACTTTAGTTGTACGATTTTGGAAAAATGAGATAATATGGTTGAAAAGCGGGCCAGTTTTGAGTCGTGCTAACTGAGGAGTAAAAGTCTGCGTAGCAAAACTCAAAAATGCCAAGGGTTCAAGTTTTCTTGGAAAAACTTTGGTTGCCCACTCAGGCAATGTGTAATTGTAAATGGTCTCAATCATCAATGTGTTATATAGATATTCTGTGGTTTCTAAATTCGAAATCGTTTCTCCGGAATACCGCGTCAAGTAAGCATAAAGATCATGGTTTTGATGAGAAATATTCCTGAAATACTCCGACCGGAAAAGCAGTTTTTGTAGCTTTTCGTATTTGGGGCAGGGTTTCTTGCCTGCCAACAAGGCGTCTTGGATTTCAGGCGTAGTATGGATAGGTATAGGTTGCCAGTTTATGTTTTTGTCCCAAACCTGGTTTGAAACAGGAGGATACAGTCCAGCCAGGTTTGCTGCAGCCGACATCAGGGTCCTATCTACGTCTGTGGATCGAACATAAATATCCTTTTCTGAATAATTAGAAGACAGGAAACCATCGTATCGTTTACGGAGCCATTGGCCCAGTTCAAGTTGCCGTTCTTTGCCAAGCTGAAAATTAATAATTTCTGTGATGCTCGGATATAATTGGCAGCGATAAATTAAATCATATTTATGAATTATCGATCTTATTTAGCAGTATAGTCAACAAGCGTAAGAAATTCCAAATCTGTAAGTCTATTGATAATTGTTAGTGATAAGATGTCCACAGCAGCTCCCAAGTGTTTCGACAGATCTCACAAGAATTTATGATCTATGATAATCCATTATCAACACGTGGTCACTGAGAAAAAAGAGCAAACCGTTGACCATCCATTCACACCTTAACTATTGAGCATTGTTAGAGGCGTCTAGCTAGACCAGCTAATCTTTCAAACATCGAGGTCAAGTGACGTCACCCACAACACATGATCTTTCTTCCTTCTTTATATTGAGAAACTACGCTACTACAAGTAAAGCGATGGCTTAGTGGTCTGTGTATCTGACTTCCACGTTGCTGATAGGGGTTCAATCCCTGCGACCAATCCCTGTACTACTACCCAAACCCGGAAAAGACACCAAAGCCACCAATGGCTACCGCCCCATATCACTGCTTAGCGCAGTAGCCAAGATCGTGGATAGAGTCCTCTTACGGATCATATCACATCATGATGACGAGCTGGCACTCATACCGCGTGAACAGTTCGGGTTCCGCAAGGGACACAGCACTGTGTCTCAAGTGGCCCGGATTGTTCATGAGGTAAAAGAGGCCAGTAACAATGACAAAAATACGGACAATACGGTTATGGTCATAATGGACATAGAGAAGGCCTTTGACACCGTCTGGCACGAAGGTTTAATGTCCAAGTTGTACAAGGCAAGAATGCCGATTTTTATCATTGAACTTATCGATCACCGACAGGAAAATCCGGGTTAAGTTCAACGAAAGTATATCGGGAGATTTTCTCTCGAGGCAGGTGTTCCACAGGGGTCTTGCCTCTCACCTCTGTTGTGCACCCTATACACGCATGATTTCCCTATATTCGAGCGAACGAGTACAGCATTGTATGCCGATGATACGGCAATATATGCACACTCGTTCGACTCGAATGTCGCCAGGACACAGATCCAGATTCATCTGGACAGGGGAATCATACCGTACTTTGACGAGTCAAAGATCCGTATAAACAGCACAAAGACCGAGGTCATACATTTTCATCAAAAATTCAATAATTCCTCGATGGACAGGCCTTTGACCGTCAAAGGGGTTCAGGTGGCAGACAAAACCACCGTGAAATACCTGGGGGTTAAACTGGACACCCGTATGACTCTCAGGCCCAACACCAACTACCTCATACAAAAAACTCAAGGAGCGATAAAGAAGATGTACCCACTAATATCCAGGACCTCTCCATTATCAATGGAGAACAAGGTCCTGGTATATATGCAAATCATCAGGCCTGTGATGACGTACGCGTGTCCCGTGTACTGCAGCACCCCCCTACTCATATGAATAGGCTGCAGGTGCTGCAGAACAAGGTACTCCGTATTATTACCAACGGTAATAGATACTCACGAGTGGCAGATTTCCACGAGATATGTGGTAATTTGCCAAGGATCAGAGAACACACAATCAAAACAGCCAACAAGTTCTACAAATAACACGTCTCTGGGAGTGACCTTACCCGGAATATGACCACAACAAGAAGGCATCACAATATCCGCAAAAAACATGGGTTGATATATGCATCAACCCATGTTTTTGAGGAACCAGATAATCTATAGTCGGGACTCCCTCGCAGCCTAGTAACCTCAACGAGGCACCGGGGGATCCAGAACTCACAAATAAAATAATGTCAGGGTCACTCAAGGAGTGACAAACTGATATTGAACTCGGTCAGACGTGCGGAAGCGCCTGGGCCCGACGATTGGCCCCACAGCCAAAGTCGGGCGCGGAGTGTGGGTACGTCTGGCCGAGCCAAATCCGAAGTAGGTTTCTGTTTTGTGATTTCAATTCTCCTTCACTTCCTTGAAGAACCTACTCACTACTGAAAGCGATTGATCAACTCCCCCACCCCCCTGGGTATCCTCAGTGAGACTACCTATATAAAGGGCCCTAGGAGATAGGCATCTGTGACTAACACCTCGCATATACACCCACATTCCTTGGCCAACATCAGCCAACTCTGCATCACGCGGAGGACCACAACATACAGGAGAAGCTCTGTATTATGTTCTCAAATGTATAAATGAACTTGTATTGTGTGATGTAAAAATTTGGAAGAGAAATAAAATGTTTTAAAGTGACTTCCACGTTCGTGGCTGGGGTTCAATCCCTGCGAGGCGTCAATTTTTTTTAAATTTTTCTCACTCACACGATCTCCATATCCAGGATATCCAAGAAAATCCAAGGAATTCCAAGGAAATCCAAGGAATTCCAAGAAAATCCAAGGAATTTCAAGAAAATCCAAGGAAATCCAGTTGTTTGTACACCAGAATTATAACGCCCTTCACCCAAAGAATTCCAAAGGAATCCAAGCAATTCCAAGGAATTCCAGTTGTATGTATACCAGGAAGATACCGCACTTCACTCAAGAAATTCCAGGGAATTCCAAGGAAATACAAGGAATTTCAAAGAAATCCAGGCAATGCTAGTTGTTTGTACACCAGAATTATACCACATTTCACCCAAAGAATCCCAAGGAAATTCAAGGAATTCCAAGAAAATCCCAGCAATTCCAGTTGTGTGTAGACAAGGAATATACTGCACTTCACCCAAGGAATTCCAGGGAATACCAAAGAAATTCAAGGAATTTCCAGGAAATGCAGGGAAATTCCAGTTGTTTGTACACCAGAATTCCACCGCGGTTTACCCCTCCGTATTATTGAACGATGCCGGTACGGTCATAAATATTCTTTTTCCGTCGACCTCGTATTAACGACTAAGTTTAATGTATATGAAATCGTTCATTAATGACCCCTATTAATGAACGATTTGTCTATTAATGTACGATTGTTTTATAGGCAACCAAACATACACCGCGTGCATTCATTGTTTATGCTATAACTTACGGAATCTGAATTTAAATCGAAAATATGGATTTCATTGAAGAATTTCTGTTAACGGGTTCACCTTTCCAAGTTTCTGACACGATTTTAATCCCTGTTTTCTAACACAAGGAATTCATTTTCTATGTTGATCATTTCGACAAATGTCAAATGTCACTAATGTCAGTGACAAGGCTACTGGGTGATTCTTACCAGTTTCCAGATGAATGATGAATTCGCGAACCAAGTTTTCTTCATTGCAGGAGAAATGAGAAATATAGTCGACGGAAAAATTTTGTAACCAACTTGTATATTAAAAGGCGATTAATAAACTAGTTGGTTAAATAACTATTATCCGTTAGGTTCTCATAAGTTTGAGAATATTTTCTTGTTCATATATATACATATACCCCTTCCTAAGGGAGGATAGGGAGAGAAGGAACCCCAATGCACTGCTCCTTCAAGAAAAGATGGAGAACCAACCAATGAATTCAAAAAACAAGATAAAAACAAAGAGCACTGATGTTCCTTTCTCTTTCCTATGTGACTGTCAATGCTTTGTATAGGACAGCAAGACAAATATGGATCTAGTGTCTAGTAGAGTATACCGGGTGTAACAGGATGGTACACCAAACCACTTTGATGATAAATCAAGAAATTTGACATTTTTGACAAGATTCAATTTTTTTAGCATTACACCTTACAATATGAGTACATCAGACTTGTTCACAATATACATGGCACACTCAGATAGATTAAACATAAATGAAATCAAAATCATTATTGAAGTTTGAGATGTCACTCATCTGATATTATTGGATTCAGAAAATAATGCAGAATTTGAAAATGCAATGATATACAGGGTGTTCTATTTAAAAATCAAAAGTTATTACCACTTTCTGGAAGTGTAAAATGAAACATATTTATGTCAAAAAATGACGTTCATCATGTTGATGGGTCATTCCAAATTTCAATCAGTTATCTCTGCAACTAATGGGGGTGTACCATGATCCTGTTACACCCAGTATATTATTAGATTAGATACTTTGGAAATTATTCCTATTTCATCCCTCAGAGAGTAACTATTATATGAGTATATACTGGGGTGAAAATACTATATACACCCTACTATATTATGTAAAATAAAGGTTTCTGCATACTACCAGAGGCATATGACAGAGGCAAGTGACTGGTTGATCCTTCCCAGATTTTATGCTGTTGGAGGAATTGCCACTTTGACAATTTTTCCATTCTCCAATACTTTCTATGTAAATATTGTACTCTTTCTTCATCTTCATCTATCAAGATATTTAGGTAAACATGAAGCTGCACAATTATTTTAATTTCTATATGTATTAATTATGTCAATGTACCAAACATTGTATTTATTGCATTTCATTACAAAAATGAAACTTCAATCCACATTAATGAAGAACCATTTTATAGTTTCCTAATTTTTCAATATAAAAAATAGTAAAACAAGAGGTAAAACAGTAGTAGTAACAGACAGGATACACATTCGGGTCGATTCTGTTCGGATCTTGTTATAACATTGCTAAGATAATAATATTGTTATGATCATAACATATAACAATATTGCTATGAAGTTCTGTATTCTGTTTGCAGAGTAACTGCAAGACTGGTTATAAGTTCAAGTGATAGCAATATTGTTGAAAAATTGAGAATTTTTGAGCTGACAACACTGTTTTCAACTAATTGTTTAAGTATTGATTTTGCCATTATTTCATGAAGAAGAAGAGTTCATGATTATCTAACCTCTCAAATTAGTCAGTCCTGCGACATGCACTGACATTTTACAAAATTATATTGTTCAAATCGAGAGATTTTGTATTTGCTGAATCTGGTCGTCGTTGTGCGACTGGTGCAAGTAATCAATCATGTCCCCGAAATGAGAAAACAACTAAAAGCCGGATGAAACAAATCGTGATTTTTTTTGATATTCTAGCAAAATAGCTTGATAAACTATCCATCAGGCAACTGAAATTTCTCTGATATGCCGAAATTGTAGTCTCATATTTCCTCTACAAATTGAAACTTCAAGAAGAGGTTTTCAAGTAGTTGGTTACAGTACACAGCAGTAAACCTATCCTATATGTTTGTAATCACCAAGTTCTTCAATAATTCTTCTACGTATTGAAACTTTGAGGAAAGGTTTTCGAGTAGTCAGTGACACAACTGAACTCTCATATGTTTTTAATCCACTATTTTCTGAATTTTCATACAGTTGGAAACAATTTTAGTGCAAAAACAAAGAATCCACTACCTTGTTATCAGATAGCAAGCACAAAATTGATGTTGCCCAGATAGCAAGAAAGCTAACCAGATGTCATTGAAATTGACAGATCATATTGCCAAAAATCGATGATTAGAATTCCACTTTTTCGAATCTTGCTATGATAGCAATATCTTCTTTACAACCATATTGCTATTTGCAAACAGAATCGACCCGATTTTATCTAGGTGATTTGGGATGAATCTTCATATTTTGACGTCAGGATTTTATAGATGAAACATTTTCAATTAGGGTAATTTTGCACTTATCATGCGATGGGTTTTTTTTCGAAAATTTTTTTTGGTACTTACGTATTTTTGTCTGAAAAACACGAATTTGATATTGAAAGTGTGAACAAACCACTATTTATCGAGATATTTCAAGAAAAAGTTCGAAATTTTGCCTTATTTTCCCCCTTGTGTTGGATGCATTTACAGGTACTTGCTCTGTTTATTTTGTCATTGGACACTTCATATACTCATGATGTACTTCAATGACACATTTTAAGCTAGAAAATTCAACAGGAAATATGATTTTTATGGTGAGTTTTTCCTATTTAGTGAGCAAGCATACCAGATGACCGCCATTTAATCGATTAATCATTCCAGAATTACGTCATTTGATAGCTTGCTGAGGGGCAAACATTGTGTTTTGTCAAGATTTGTCATATGAAAACAAAAATAGTGGGATCGTTCTCCTTGGAATCCGAGTTGGAACCAGAAAGAATTTCATAATTTTGTTTGGTGAAACTGTTATTATATTGTGAATGTGGCAGGGACGGCCAGAGCAATGCTCATCAAAGGTAACATAACAGATAGTTTGTGTGCCCCTCAAGAAACCATGTCAAAATCACGTGTTCTAGAATGATCAATGGGTAATCCAAATAGGAGATGTCAAATGTCAATAGATTGCTTTGGAATGACATCACACACGCCATTATTTCAAATGATATTCTTCCTTCTTTTCACTAAACATGGATAAATCACAAGAAAATCATATTTCTAGTTGACTCATATAATAAAAAATATGTGTCCAACATTGTGTGATATATATAAATTGTCCAATGATGGAAAAAGAAGGGCAAATTGTTCTAAATGCGCCCCAAAGACAGGCGGAAAAGAAGGTGAAATTTGTAACTTTATAGTGAAATACCTCAATAAATAATGGTTTGTTCACATTTTCAATATCAAATTCGTGTTTTTCAGACAAAAATACGTAAGTACCAAAAAAAATTTTCGAAAAAAAAAACCATCGCATGATAAGTGCAAAATTACCCCAATTAGTAATGAAAAATCCTGTATGCTGTATGTACTTTATTTTGTCCATTTGGAAGTGTCTACTGTGTATACTCACATTTGTTAGCTGTCCAAAATCTACTGGCCAGTAAGACTGATTTCGATATGGATCTGTTGGGTAGGGCTTGACAGGGGTTCTATCCCCATGCCTGTATATCTGAAAAGGAAAGGTATCAAATCTTGTCAAGTGAATTTATCTCATAACTTACAACAACAACAGCAAGTAATTCATCTTCAGTAGCACTAGCCTCAAAACAAAGCAATCCAATCAAAAAGACAAATATGAATACCATAATTTTTGTAGTCAAAAAGTATGTAGATAATAAAGAAACTACTATTCTTTGAAAGAACATTCAACGTCCACTAATTCAAAATCTCTCCATTACTGAACAGCTGTTATATCAAACTGTTGATACTGATCAATGCTCTAATGGAATTGAAACTTGAACCACACATTTTAATTCAATATTTCTTTATAAAGAAGAATGACATTTTCTTCGTCCCATATTGTTTTTAACCATAAAAATAACAATAAAAAATAAGCATGAACAAACATATGATATGACATATGACATAGGACAGGACCATATATCTATTACTCTATATATGAAGAATGATGGAAGTAAGATAATGGTGTAATTACTGATGCGCTTTTGTTTCAGAAATTTTACTCGACCTCTCGAGAGCAGCGCCAGCGAGAGCAATGGTTCCGTTGATCTTCTAAGAGATGGCGACATTGCACAATTATGACTTCTGTCAGTTTTGTCGAATTCAGAGTTGTTTAATCCCAGTGTTTCATATGTTCCGCGTTCCTAAAATGGCATTTGCCATTTTATTTCCACTCGTCACAGCAGCAATAGCAGCATCACCATCTAGCGGAAAAATGTAGAATCAACGCCTCGCTCATTGTGACTAGAGTCACTGGATGGTATTAGATAAGAGTTCGGACACAACTGAACTTTTGTCCTTTTCTATTTTCTATAATACAATGGTATAAGTGAATAAAAGAATAAGACATATATTTTGCTCTTCGTCTTTTCAATTTCCCTAGTAGCGCCTGATTGTCAGATACGATTGTCAAATGTCAAATCAATATTCCCTTCAAATCAAACACATCAATATTTCCGAATTTTATTATCTTCATTTACTATACTATACTACATTATTTCCAAATTCCATATTGTTTCTATTCACTAGACTATAACGAATAACTTATTCAGATATCCAAATATAAGGAATTGCAATAATCATCAAATAATGCCAATTTTGCTGAATTGGATATTATTCGCGACTTCCAATGGATTTACCTTTGGGAGCGGAATAATCAGATGGTACCTACCTGCGAACGAGACCACACCTCGACCACCTCTCTAAAAATGAATCTCCGGTAAGTGTAATTTCGATATTTTATTTGTAACTCATACATTCTTGTTGAAGGCGATTTATTTCCTTAACAATTACTGAATAAAAATGTTCCATTTTTATCCAAGATCTTATTTATTAAATCTCCACCATCTGAGTTTACCCCCTAGATCGTGAGCCAGGCGTTTTTCATGAACATTGAATAATAATCAAATAAAGGGGTATTAATGAATAGGCCGGCTCGCGACATTTTGGTGGAGGCGCCTTACGCAAATTTTCTCGAGTAACTTTAATAATTTTGTTCTTTCCTCTTGCATTGTTCAACTAGATTTTTCCGTGAGAATTCCATTCAAATGTTTTTTTTGTTTCTTTGAATTTTGCTAATCGCCTTCAACAAGAATGTATGAGTTACAAATAAAATATCGAAATTACACTTACCGGAGATTCATTTTTAGAGAGGTGGTCGAGGTGTGGTCTCGTTCGCAGGTAGGTACCATCTGATTATTCCGCTCCCAAAGGTAAATCCATTGGAAGTCGCGAATAATATCCAATTCAGCAAAATTGGCATTATTTGATGATTATTGCAATTCCTTATATTTGGATATCTGAATAAGTTATTCGTTATAGTCTAGTGAATAGAAACAATATGGAATTTGGAAATAATGTAGTATAGTATAGTAAATGAAGATAATAAAATTCGGAAATATTGATGTGTTTGATTTGAAGGGAATATTGATTTGACATTTGACACGATTTTAGAGGTTATATTTTCTGTTAAATCAATCATAGCCGTAGATGGACAATGGATATAGGGTACAAACACCCACTTCAATTCATAGTGATACACTTCTAGAAGAGCAACTATTACATAAAAATAAAAAAAAAATGCATGTAACAACATTTTAATATCAGAGAATATATACATATGGATAAACTTATAGCTATAATTCCTTATTGTATGTGAAACTGTACTCCAGTGAAGTATTCCTGAGACAATTTTAAGAAATTAAGTCTATATAAGCTTGTGTCCGGAAATGCTTCATTTCGGAGATACAGGGTGTTGAAATACAGAGAACAAATCATTTTTTGATAAAGATTTCATAGGAAGAAAGTAATTTATTTTGACGAGACCTACCAAATACTTGGTTTTGTAAAGTTCTCAGCAACTTCACTTAGCGCCCTAGGAGCTAAGTAACGTGGATATCAATATAGAAAATATCTCCAAAACGATACCTCCAGCGTAATTAAGGCCCTTATAATAATTCCCTTGATACATAAATATCTATTTACTTTTTACTGTTGAATGTTGAATTCGGTCGGCACCAAAAACGCCATTCAATAATATATCACGTTGTAGTTTACTTGCTTTTCTTAGTTTCGTTTTCAAATTTTCAATTTCATAATGTAATTTTGCGATCATTTCCCCTTTTTCCATGATTATTTTGTTTTGTATTTTGTGTGATGATAATAATGGAATTTTGTTCTAGAAATCGTCTGCTTTGTAAATTGACGGAACAGCAGATTATCAATCAGATTTTGAAATCTTCTGTTTGAAAATGGGCCTAAAATATAGATTCATTCTAATCAGATGATGTTATAAGAAGTGAATTTCAATGAGTACCTCACAAATTTCGCTCGTCTTCAAATTGATTTTTCACCCAGGCCGTTTCATATCTTCCTTCCATAAGCGAATGCTGGATATATTATATTTGATTTGGAAAATGCTCGGGAAAATCGAATAAATGATATCCATTTGTTCCAGAATTGGCACAATTTATTACACAGCAAGTGATTTCCATAGCTGCTTTCATCTCGAAAGTATAATAATTATGAAATTTTATTTCAATTCTGACGTTTATAAAATTAATTGTCAAATTCAAAGAATTTTTGAATGAAAAAGCGCGGGACGACTATGGTGCTCTTGTCACAATGCAAATCTAAACATTCAAAAACCCTAACCGTTGTCATTTCTGTGTCCGAACTCTTATCAAACTAATACCATCCAGTGACTCTAGTTGTGACCATTCATAGTAGGGCAGGTCGAGTGATTATTCTGAAATTTTCAATACGTAATAATGGCCGAATACGGCGCACCATATCTCACTTCCATCATTATATTAATATGAAGTATAGCTATCCTCAAAGCGGGACCGTGATAGCTGTCCTCAAAGCGGACCAACTTCTGTCTCTATAGGTAACGAAATCGACCAATAGGCGTTGATGCCGACGTAGGGAAAAAATAAAACGAAACTTGTCAAACCAATATGGCTGTTTCCATCCTTCACTTTCCGTCCTTATAGATTCAAAAAGTATAGTATATTCAATATCAATTGCAATATATTCCGCACTGTGCGGCGTCGGCGTGTTTGAAGTTTCCTTTGAAGTGACTGCAGGTGCGGCACGAGATTCTGCAATTGTTTTTGGATAAACACTACCTCTGTGGTCCCATTTTTCTTGAGATATCGTATAGGCGATGGGCCATATATAGAAATAGTACATATATGAAAGTAACTTATTTCCATCATTGCTCTGTCTAATAGATGAGCATTACATTACAGGAATTCAGATATGGCTTCAAGCAGACGAAGAAATCGAAAATGCCGCTGTTACTATTGTAGCCGTAAAAAAATTATAGTGTATAACTTGCACGGAATGCTGATTTTCTACTCGAATGATTTTGCAGCATTTGCCTATGGTTCATGCTGTAAACTTCATTCTCGTCGGAAATCACTATCATTCCATGCTCATTAAACAATATACTAATGTTTGCAGTGGTCATTATACAAAGAGGAAGGAAATAAGGAATGCTCGAGGTAGTTGTTGCGCAGTTGCGGAATAGTCGAAAATTCAATGTTTAAAAAAATCCTAAAATGAACGGGTTCTCGTACCTGAATTTTTTTTTGTGAAAATACAGTAAACTAGAAGGTTTGGACCTGGGTAGGTGGAGTAATGGCGAATAAAGGCCGGAGAGTTGAAGAATCTATAATACGGTTGAAATATGTTTACCTAGATGTTGGAGAGACAAGACAGAGTTTTTATATGTGGAAGAATTGATTTTCAGACTTTCTAGTGGGTTCTATAAATTGCCTTTTTGACCATGCAGATTTGAGATCTTGATAATCAGAGTTATGGTGTGAATTTGTGTTTTGCAAAGGAACTTTTGGTATCATATTCATCGAACAGAGAGGGTGTATTTGTATTCTTAGATTTATCAATGATTTTTGACATGTTCTGTAATTCTATTTGAGATCTTCCTGTCACTTTCTCCAACATATTGAACATTATTGCAATCTGGATCTGAGCAAGAAACACCAGTATATGCTTCTGATTTATGATTCAATGAAAAGAAATATTGATATCTTTCCTATATCGATTAAAAATGTTTTGATATGTCATTTGATACCTCCCCAAGAAGAAGAATCGATGAAAAACATGTTCTAGAATTTTGCATTGGTGATATAAGCTTGTATTGAAGAATTCACTTTGGTGTATATTGAAAATCTTACTAATAATATGGGGAGGAAAACTCAAAGTAAAACTATTATTGTGTTCAATATGCTTGATGATATTCAGTAGGTACATAATTAAAATTTTCGCTGTGCTCCTATAGGTAAGTATGTAAAATGATCTATAGAACAAGGAATTGTAAGCTGCAAATTTGTGTTGACAAGGATGAGAAGAGGTAAACGGAATGACCGAATCTGTGTGTGTGGATTTACGGTATATGGAAGAATCAGAAGTATCATCTTTTTCTTTCGTCAGACAAGTCACAAGTTCCCCAGGGTTCTGTTCTTGGCCCACTCCTCTTCGTTGTTTATGATTGTGATCCTGCTCTTCATATAAAGTCCTGCAAGTCGTTTTATGCCGATGACACTGAAATGTATGAAAATGCCTTAGTTGAACATCAATTCCTTCAAGAAGACCTCAACTCGATTAGTCAGTGGTGTGAGGATTGGCTTTTACCTCTTAACGTCGATAAATTCGTCGTACT